CTCCTTAGTTTGGCATGTTCTGCATCAGAAAGGTGAGTTTCTTGAATAAATGAAACATCAGTGGACTGTCTCTTTAAGTACGTCAAAATTTTTCTCCTCTTAATTGGAGAATTGATTCCCCTGACATTCAAAGAAATTAAGTTTAGTTGGCTAGTCATACCTTAATAACAGATGCAACTTAAGTATGTTGGGAGCCCCAGTGCGTACATATAAAATGAAATTTAGGTGAGTAACAATGATTATAGGTGAAAACCGTACCGAACACCCGTATGAGACCCACCCATTGGAACCCTTAACACTAAACATCCCCATTGGGTAGGTAACTCTCTACTCTCTCAACACGACCTCTCGACAGTTAGAAAAAGGATATATTAAGCATCAAACCATGGAGCAAATTCTAAGACCCAGTTACGTATTGAAAAAATAAATTACATAAAATTAAAAAAAAAAAAAAAATTTTTTTTTTTTAAATGACTGGAATTTAAAGCATGAACATGAGATTTGGTAGCTCAGCGTGAAGTAGACTTGAAGTATAACATAATCCAGTGGCTTATAAGGGGAGTGCCATGTAAAAGGGGAACAGAGTTCTGAGGTACATAAGTAAAAAGATAAATAAATGAAATAATAATAATTATTATAATATTAGCAACATCACCAACATCCAATAGATAACTAAGAAGGGTGGTCAAAGTAAATAAATGATGGTGAATATGAGAAATAAGGGGAGCGAAAATTAAAAATATAAATAAATAATAAAAACAATTATAGTAATAATAATAACAATAGTAATAATAGTAACAGTAATAACAATAACAACAATAATAATAATCATTGTTATAATAATACAAATTTTCCTGCTACTCAAAATAAAGTTACCATGTTTCAGAAGGTCAGATGGATACAGCCACTACTTTAGTTACTATTGTATTAAACAAAAACAGCTTCACACAAGATCAAACTGTCCAGTAGTCACCACTTCTGAACAAAGTCATTATAAACAGTATGGAAATTGAGCGGGGCTCTTAATACGATAATTTCTATCCCACTCAGTAGCGAACATATATCTATGTATGAGCCCTCTTTGTAGTCCGCATATTAACTTACGCATATCCTTCCCTCCGCGTCACAGCAGTACAGGTGGAGCAGCCAGGAAGTCCTCTGGTGCGTATACTGTTGTGATATCTCAGCTGCTCAGTCAGTTGTTATTGTCAATTGTTTTCAAAAAGTCCGCCGCTGCGGAAGGTGATGCAAACCACCTGATGTTGCCCTAATGCATAATCCGTAGTTTAGCTGGATGATGCAGGGAATACGCAATTCCTCTTTCCCGAAGGCTCTTTTTAACATCCTTAAAGGCAGGGGCGGACTGGCCATCTG